GGTTATAGGCTTTTTCCAAGTCAACTAAGCACATATACATTGAATAGACGAACTCCGACGATTTCTCAACAATCTGGCGTAGGGCGAATATCTGGTCAGGTGTACCCTGATCGGGCCATAAGCCACACTGCTATTCTTGTATTTTGGAGTCAGATATTCCGCGAGACTTGTTTTCTAGCACCTCTGCATAGACTTCATCCGGGAGGATCAGTAAGGTAATGCCCAGATAACTGGGGCAGTTTCGATGGTCTCTCTTCCTGAACATATACAACGGTATATACATCGTTTATATGTAAAAAGTAGTACTGCACTTTAAATAATAAATTTTGTCACATTAGCCCACAAATTCTAAAACTCTTCTATAGTATGACATCGCATATCGAATTTGTATGTATGTATGTACATATTCTGCAACGCTTTGGATCATGCTCTGTCCGTCTTTCGGATTAACATAAAAAAATATCATGTGTAATTTTATTTCCTAAAGATGTTAAGATGAAGCTGCGAAATGTCAGCAGAGAGTAAGAAAATATGCATCGCGTCCCTGAATTCACACAACAGAGATAATCGCTAAGAAATATATGAGCTGTGCTTTCAAATATCAATGCAACATTCCCACTCTGAGGATTATAATAGCTTTCTCGCTCCGAGATTACGAACTGTTGCAGACGACAAGAATTTCAAAGTAAACCATTTCTCTGCCCTGAAGAAAGCCCATCAGACACATGCACAAACGTCGATATTGATAAATCATCCAACAGAAACCTTTCCGCGTTGTTTATAATTAAACCGTGTTTCGTGTTGTTTTTCTAATGCACATAGTGCATACAGTAGAAAACGGATCAAGTATCAAGCCGTCACTTATTTGACAACCATAATGGCAGGTATCAACGAAAACTGTGCCCGTCGCACAAAGATTATAAATTGTAACTCATGATAGCTGTTTAAAAAATTAATTTTTATTGTACGACACAATTAAATCAACTGACCGAACGCCAGCCATTTACAACGTGGGATGATAGCCAGTGAGTGGTCAGTATCAGTCAAGACGACAGAGAGATAGAAACATATGGTAATCATGACTAATAAGGTATCCTACCTCCCCCTTGTTCGTACGTAGTAGCCGCGTAACATCATTCATAAACCACTATGTCCGTTTTGGCGACATGTGGAAAGATGGCTGGTAGTGGTGAAGAGATCAACAAAATCACTTATACTCGAACTATGAACTATAGTTAGAGAGCAGAGACTGCGAGAAGCCAAGACGTCATTAATCTGGGTACTCTGTCCTCGACCCTGACAAACCAAATGAGGATGACAATAACAACTGTGCGTATAATTCACACGTACAACAACGTACGTACAAATCATTTATCATTGCTCAATATCAGATGTATAGAAATTGCGACTACAGCGCTAACGTAGAAAGATTTGATGACGTCCGTTTAAGTCGACGAATGCGTACAATTTAAAAGCTATTTTTGGAAAAATCACTCAGAGAGCAGGTAACAAACCTATATATCTTACGAGTAACACACATGGAACTTAGGACAAAGCACCATTGCCCTCTGATAAAAGACTGCGCTATAGTAAACCCTGCGTGTGATACAGAAAAAGATTTAGGATCTACAATCTTTGTGAACCATTATCAAGATGTTCACTGTAGATGATAAAGAAAAGAAGTCTCTAACAGTTCGATATTCTGTCTTCCTTATTCTTGCACAATGGGCTATCTGTGTCCTTCTTTTAAGGATGTTAATGGTGGGACGTT